TCAAAGCTAATGAGGTAATTTCATGCTTGCTGGTTGCATTATAAACCGGCTATAATCATTTTGTAAAAAAAAAATAATTTGGCAATACATAACCAAAGCTGTAAAAATAGTCATACTCTTTGACAGAGAATGCTCCTTTTGTAATCTAGCTCGAAACCGTCTTGGGTATGGAAAAAAAAACAAAACTATATGTAATGAAGACTATCAATCATCAGAAGTTGACCATGTGATGCACACGATTTCATTTAGTCTGTAAAACAATCCTAAGCAGTTAGCACTTTCATTGTTCCCATATTAAAACTAGGGAAATGGAGGCACTCAACTTGCTCAAAGGCAGGTTCAGGAACATTTCTGCCACCAGAAATTCTACACTTAGCTTTTATACCATATTATCACCATGAGGGAATCCTGCAACACAGTAGCATTGTTCCATTAGAAAATGCAAGAAATGGAGAACAGTATGGAGATTCCTTAAAAAACTAGGAATAAAACTACCATGTGACCCAGCAATTCCAATACTGGGCATATACCCTGAGGAAGCCATAACTGAAAAAGACACATATACCTCAAAGTTCACTGCAGCACTATGTACAATAGCTAGGACTTGTAAGCCACCTAGGTGTCCACTGACAGATGAATGCATGAAGCAGTTGTGGTATATATACACAATGGAATACTACTCAGCTATAAAAAGGGATGCATTTGAGTTGGTTCTAATGAGATGGATGAACCTAGAGCCTACCACACAAAGTGAAGTTCAAGAAAGACAAATATATATTAATGCATACATATGGAATCTAGAAAGATGGTACTGATGAACCTATTTACAGGGCAGCAATGGAGATGGACATACAGAACAGACTTTTGGACACAGTGGGGGAGGGAGAGGTGGGAAAATTTGAGAGAGTAGCATAGAAATGCATTCATTACTGTATGTAAAGTAGATTGCTAGTGGGAATTTGCTATGTGACAGAAAACCCAAAGGTGGTGCTCTGTAACAAGCTAGCGGGCTGGGATGGGGAATGAGGTGGGACGGAACTTCAAGAGGAAGGGGACATATGTATACCTATGGGTGATTCATGCTGATACATGGCAGAAACCAACACAATAAAGTAAATAATTATCCTCCAAATAAAAACAAAATACAATTTAAAAAACTGCAAGACAAGGAAGGAAGGAAAATAGTAATTGTAGCAGCACAGTAGAAATATATGTGACTAACGGGTTACCCTGCTTATTTAACTTATATGCGGAGTACATCATGAGAAACGCTGGGCTGGAGAAGCACAAGCTGGAACCAAGATTGCTGGGAGAAATATCAAACACCTCATATATGCAGATGACACCACCCTTATGGCAGAAAGTGAAGAGGAACTAAAAAGCCTCTTGATGAAAGTGAAAGAGGAGAGTGAAAAAGTTGGCTTAAAGCTTAACATTCAGAAAACTAAGATCATGGTATCTGGTCCCATTACCTCATGGGAAATAGATGGGGAGACAGTGGAAACAGTGTCAGACTTTATTTGTTTGGGCTCCAAAATCACTGCAGATGGTGACTGCAGCCATGAAATTAAAAGACACTTACTCCTTGGAAGGAAAGTTATGACCAACCTAGATAGCATATTAAAAAGCAGAGACATTACTTTGCCAACAAAGGTCCATCTGGTCAAGGCTATGGTTTTTCCAGTGGTCATGTATGGATGTGAGAGTTGGACTGTGAAGAAAGCTGAGCACCGAAAAGTTGATGCTTTTGAACTATGGTGTTGGAGAAGACTCTTGAGTCCACTGGACTGCAAGGAGATCCAACCAGTCCATCCTGAAGGAGATCAGTCCTGGGTGTTCATTGGAAGGACTGATGCTGAAGCTGAAAGTCCAATACTTTGGTCACCTCATGTGAAGAGGTGACTCATTGGAAAAGACCCTGATGCTGGGAGGGATTGGGGGCAGGAGGAGAAGGGGACGACAGAGGATGAGATGGCTGGATGGCATCACCGACTCGATGGACATGAGTTTGAGTAAACTCCAGGAGTTTGTGATGGACAGGGAGGCCTGGTGTGCTGCGATTCATGGGGTCACAAAGAGTCGGACACGACTGAGTGACTAAACTGAACTGAATGTGTTACTTTCCCCACCTCCAAACTTTCTGCAAGATTTAGCTTTATTATCTAAAAATCAGCTTACTTGAGGGGAGGAAAATAAAGCACATAGGAAAGGAAAAAAAAAAAAAACCTGAATTTTTCAAAAAATTAGAAAGAAATCTTAAGAAAAGTGCAGAGGATGAGAATGTTTTGAGAGAAGGATAATAATAATTATACAAAATTATGAGCTTGAGAGAAGTACAATAATAATCTTCAGATAATTATATAAACCGTCAAATGAGTAATGGTTTTAGTTTGTCTCTAAATGGGCCTGACAGTAAGCCAGGAGGAATTGTTGTGTGTTTGTGGTACACGGATATGAACCATGCATCTATTATTTTAAAGGTGCAAAGCACTTATTAATAGTTCATATATGATTTTAGAATTAATTTGGGAACATTGGCTAAAACCTTTTAATAAGTGAGAAATACAATGTACAGTGTAAGAGAAATCAGGTTACTGGCAACAGAGCAAACTGCATCCACTGCAGAAATAATTGAATATTCAAAAAAATAATAATAATTGATTTAAAGAGAGAATATTCTATGTAAAAACAGAACAGTCAAAGTACACAACAAATTCAAACATGGAAACTGAAGTACCAAAATTCTAATAAAAGGATAAAATTGTACAACATGGCAGCAATAATCAGTCAAGCTTGTGTATTCTGATTAAATTTTTGCCCATGTCAATCCTCCTGAACATACAACTTTACAGTCAGGATTACAGATTTATATGTATTTTTATGCCCTGCCTTTATTTGCACTTTATTGCTTTTTAGTTACTTTTTTGCCAAATCTAATACAATTAAAATGGAACAAATAAAGAGGACTTCGAACAGCCACTTTCTGCTCTGTAATACATACGATTCAGTGTCTCCCCACTAAAACTCTGCTGCACAATGTTATTTTTCTCTCCAAATCCCTGTAATCATGTTTTAATGAGGCTGCTAAAAACATGCAAAATTGAGAGATTTGAGAATTTCTCTTTTCTCTTAATTCTAATCATCTTGATGATATAATTTTAAGAGTACCTCAAATTATTAACAGAACTGCAGAAGTTGAGAGAAGCATCCTAGGAAATCTAGGAAATTTTTCCTGACTGTGAGAATCGAAGAACTTGCCTATAATCACTGGGGAGAGGGTCCTCTTCTGGAGAAGAAAATAAATCGTAATAGAGAAGAGAGCATGAGCGACCCTCCACTGAAAGGCAGCATGGGCAGCCTCTTGCTCACGGCGGGCCTAATTGGCAGTCACCCAGCTGTGCCTCGTGTGGAGTTGGCCCCCAAGTATCTTGGGGGACAGCTGGGCTGTGCTGGGGTCATGGAGACCTGGCAGGGAAGGAAGGAGGCTGGCATGTGACAGGCTGCCTGGTCCTGACTACTGCATCAGAGGCCGGGGAGGGGGAGGAGTTCAGGTTTTAATTTCATTGTATGGACAGATTTCCTAAGGTCCCCTGCAGAAATCTCTACAAGCGAACAAAACCAGAATTCCTTGAGAAGGAAGTGAAGCCCAGACTCCACGTTTGTTTCTCTGTGAGGCCCTTGGGTGGGGGGAGCTTTTTGTAAAGTCGGTTGGCAATGCCCAGCCTGATTCTGTGCTTCACCTGTGCTGTTTCTCGTGGAAATAAACCTGGTTGTAACACAACTTTAAGTAGAAAATTCAATGTTAATTATCCCTTGCTATCCTAATGGAAAAGTGTACAGATAACTGATAGCTCCTCAAACAAGGGGAGAAAAAGCCTTACTCACTTCCCAATATAATCTTTTTCAAGTTTTTACTCAATACTCTGATTATAAAATAAAAATTTTAAGTTTTAAAAATGCTACCAAAAAAATGCTACACAGCTTGTAATACAGAGTAAGCCTACTACCACATCATTTACTCATTGATATTTCCCAGAAAAATTTAAGTTGTCCTTAATGAAATTAAAAGCATAGATTATTTCTGAACATACTATCATTCCATCCAGCTTTTCTCCCCCATGTAACTTCTTACCTTGAAGAAATTGAACTGTGCCACACATTTTATATATATGTGTGTATATAATAATATTCATATACAGGAAGTATATATATATACATATATATATACACAAAGATATGAATATGTATGTATATGAAAGAAAAATGCTAAAACTGGGTTAACTCATATGTGGTGATTTCCTGGGCAATTTCATGAGATATTTCTAGTTATTAAGGCATTTTAACACTTTAATAATAATTTATAACCTGTAAAATATTAAAATTTGATAGAAAAAAAGAAGCATTCTCTCTTCTACGTTTCACTGACTACTTTTCTAAAATGTCAGCTATTCTTTTCGCTTTCTTATTCCTTTTCTCAAAGACTTTAATGAAGTGGTTCTAAGAACTGAAAAACCAATCTTGTAACATGGCCTTGCTAATTCAAAAGAAAGCCTTGAGCCCACTTTACATGATACCCAAACAGTCCTTGAATACATGAGACATAGATTTCATCTTTTTCAGATAAATTTAAGTTGATTTTGATGAATTTATTTCTAGTAAAATAACCATTTGACTTTCCTCCCTTTTTGTAAAGCTTTAAGTATATTTTATGGATAAAACAGGATCTGGGTCTTATTCTTTCTGAACCTACAACACCCAACATAGTAAACTACAGTTTGCCATCACACATCTATTTATGCAAAAGATCTTAACGGAAAATCCACCTACTCAGAAAGCATACCTTTGAAAGGACTGAACAATTCATTTTAAAAGGAAATTTACTTCATGATAAAAGAAAAATCATACTGTTCTCAGAACAGTTAAAGCTCTAAGGAACCACAGAAAGCGGTCTTAATGTTATACCATCTGCCCTGTAGAGAAGAGCTGGGGGGAGAAGTTACCTTTTTGTGCAGAGCATGAAATTCGCTGTACCTTTTTTCAACAAAATGTTTTCTTCCATTCATTAGAACTTCTATCTTAAACACCTAAAGGAAAAAAATAAAAAAGATTAATTCCACCAGTTCCAAACCCTCAATTGTCTGATGTGGTAAGTTTGTGACCATGATATATTTCATCCCTTTAATTACAGTAGCTGATCCCCCAAAACCCAGAAGGCTCAGGAGACCCTGGCCCAACAGCACTGATTAATGAGCCCTGGAGCCAAATGCTCACTAACAAAGGACAGCAACCCTGCAAACGTGTTTAAAAATAGAGGCAACTTAAATGCCTTAAAACGCTCCTTAACTTTTTAATTAGAGAAGTCTCCTCTCCTAAAATTATTTCACTAAATGCATATGATGGCATCAAAATACAAGTGTGATGCCACAGAAACAGTCTGTCAAAAATCACAGCCCATTATGGGTATTTCAATGACAGCAGTGCTACGTCATCTTTAAGACAACCAAACAAACAGTAGTACATTTTAGGTTAATTTCTTTCTAACCTGCATATTCATCTCCAGTCTCGGCTGGGCTTATTCTGCTGTTTGCAAAATGGGGAAAATGTAGTAAAGGTTCGTTTTCCCTCCATGATATGAGTGACAGCTTGTGCTCCCACCTTCAGGAGGTTGAAAGGCCAGATGAAAAGGCTCTCTGGGTGCACTAATTAGTAAGCACTAACATGACACCTTTTTGATTCTTAGGTCATGGGTCAAGACTGGGAACAAGGGATGAGGAATATGGTGAAATGCTCATGAGAACACAACACTAAGGTAGGTGGGGGAAGGATGCTAGGCAGGAGCTGAAGAGCAGATGCTCTGTATTTCCAAGAGTTTGTCTTTGGTTCTGTCTGCTTTGCTGAGGGAAAGTCTGTCATCACCAAGTTGAAGGAGAATTGTTCCATGACCTAGAAATGGTTTTCCATTTCAATTGCCCCTGTGAAGGAAACAAACTAAAGTTGAGGTCACGTGACGCTAAAGAGTGTTAAGCACATTATGCTAACCCTAAAAAGAATTACTTAAGGCAAGCCTATGAGATACAAGATCACACATCTTCATTATGAAAACAGCTTTCTATGGCTCTAAATTTCTGCCTTACATATAAATATGACTGTTTTGGAAAGCCAGAAATTATGTCACCAAACATAAAATGTGTCCATATTTTTGTACTTCTTCCAATTAGAAACAAAATCTTCTGTTCCATGACTCAGTTTAAGAAACCTGCTTTTATTAAATAAGTGTTACATTTTTATCAATTTAACCAACTGTTCTTTTTTTCCTCAAGAAATCCCTCTAAAAAATACTTTTCTTTGGTGAATTAGTGAAAATATTTTCTTCAAAAAACATATGCATATCCTTCAGACTCTAAGATATATGTACATTAGTTTTTAGAAAAAATAAATTTGTTTACTAGTTCACTAAAGCAAATCCGCCTTCTTCAAAGACCCTTCAAAGCCAGGAATACAATGTGAAAATCACCCTGAGAAATGCAAACAAAAGAAGCACAGCTTCAACTCAGGGGCCTGGTTAATAGAAATCAGAGTCTCCTTTTTAGTGTCAGGTCTCAGATTTAAATCAGGACAATGTGGGAGCAAGGAAAGTACTTTCTATATGCAGAGCTGTATGAAATAGATGAAGTTACGTTCTGAGTTCAGTTACTTGAGGCTTCATCACAAAAACCACCACTTTAATTGGCACATTTGCTGAAGAACCCATAGAAGGAGAAAGTGGAAGACTCACAAAGGCTCAGCTTACTAGGTTGCCCATCAGGTGCTCCGTCCTGAAGGCCACAGATAAGACACGTTACACAGCAGCTGCCTCATGGAATGTCACCCCTTCTATCGACAAGATGGCTCCATCACCAAGTTCCACAGTTCCTTCACACAATCACTAAATTTCACTTTGGCGGGGAGGGGCCGGGGTGTACGTAACACACATAGACACACAGAGAAAACTATGTGATAAATTTTCATTCTAATATTTTTATTGGGTTGCTATTTTTAAAATGCACAATATACCTAACACTGTTAAGACGTTTTGCTTTTAAATGGGAAAACACCTTGGGAAGGAAGTTTCTTAATCAGAATTTCCAGGACAATATGAAGCAAGAAATGGAGTCCACTTAATAAATCTTATGTTCCTAAATTCCGTAGCAGACCTACTTTTTTTTCTTAATAGTTTCTGACACTCGTTGTCCCTGCTGCCAGGAAAACATTTTCCCTCTTGTCTTTCCTGGCAAACTCCTAGTAGTTGTTATCTACCTCTCTGGTGGGGGCAGCACAGACGATATTTGGAATGAATGTACGGTATCTGGCATTCACTCTTTTCAGTTATTTAACAGATATTTACTGAAGGACTGCAATGTGCCCAGGAGTTGTTAGAAGCTCTGAGGATTCAACAGAGAACAAGACAAACAACAGCCCAAACTTCATGGAGCACACCTCCTTTATAGTATCCAGTGAGGAAGGCAGATCATAAACATATAAAAAACATGGAGAAGTCGAGAAACAAAAGTGCAGTGAAGAATACAGCAGGGTAACATAGAGCTGGACAAGGGTGCCGTTTTAGACACTGTGTAAGAAGAGGTCTCTCTGAACACAGAGGCAGTGAGGGGTACAAAGTCTGACAGGAAATACCAGGGAAAAGTGTATGCAGGAGTTGAATATGGGTGCCTCTGGATTTTCAGACTGGGTGGACAAGGATTGTTTGTTTCTGTTCCTTCCTCCCGCCCCCCCATATATTTAAGGTAAAGCCTACAGCAGGGTGATTTCCACTTCTGGTCAAGATCGAGTAACAGTGTCCAATAACCTTCCCAGTTGAAACTGGCTGAAGAATCCAGAGAAGGAGAAACAATTACACAATTGGACAAAATAAGTGGGAGAACTGGCTCTTAAGACATTGGACATGGGGAAATGAATGACACTGAGAGATGGGAAAGAGTGATTCCTAAGATTATCCCAGGCCATTAGGGGCAGGGAGGAGAGAGTGACAGGAAGCCATGGCGATTTCCGGGGCACCGTTTTGGAGAGGCGTGAGCCACAGATGAAGGAAATTTCTGTGACTTGCCAGAGGTCTCCCTCCAGCATTCAGTTGAATCCTCATCAGCACAAGAGACTGAGGAAACTACCCAAGGACAGAAGAGATTAGAGACACCAGCGCTCAGGGCTCCCAGACACCTGGGCACAGCGCTTGTTCCCAAAAGCCAAGGCAGAAAACCTCTTAATTCAAGAAGCACTCATTAGAGAGCTCACAGAGGCTAAGAAAGCTAAAAAAAGCTATAAGCTTTTCGAATCCAGAGTAACAAACCTTAAAAGCAAGACCTGAAGAGAGTAAACTTTTTCTGAGTAACTTACCACTTGCCAGAACAAAGTTCAAGAATATTTTTGAGAGCATGAAAATGTTCAGTACCCTACAAGACAAAATGTACAAAGCCTGGCATTTAACCCAAAAGAAGCAAGAAAATTCAACACATAATGACAAGAAAAAACAGTAACTAGAAACTAGTCCAGAAATGACACAGATGATAAAACTAGTAGATTAAAGCATTAACTTATTATAAGAAAATTTCTTATGTTCAAGAATCTAGAAGAAAGGTTGACTGTGTTAAGTGGAGGCATGGAAGATATAAACAAGACTTAGATAACAGGTCTGGGTCCTACTAAAAAGTAAAAAATGTCTACGAATAAAAATTTACATATACTTGAGGAGGTTAGCAGCAGGTCAGACACTACAGAAGAAAAGATAAGTAAAGTTAAAAATCCAGCAGTAACAACTTAAATCAACAAAGCATTTATGAACCATGGGACAACTTTAAACATCAAAGTGCATGTATAATTAGAGTACTCATAGGAGAGGTGAGATGTGGGGAGAGAGGTTGGGGAGAAAGACAAATATGTTTGAAGAAATCTTGATCAAGAATTTCCCCCATTCAGGCTTCAGCAATACGTGAACTGAGAACTTCCAGATGTTCAAGCTGGTTTTAGAAAAGGCAGAGGAACCAGAGATCAAATTGCCAACATCCGCTGGATCATCGAAAAAGCAAGAGAGTTCCAGAAAAACATCTATTTCTGCTTTATTGACTACGCTAAAGCCTTCAACTGTGTGGATCACAATAAACTGTGGAAAATTCTGAAAGAGATGGGAATACCAGACCACCTGACCTGCCTCTTGAGAAACCTGTATGCAGGTCAGGAAGTAACAGTTAGAACTGGACATGGAACAACAGACTGGTTCCAAATAGGAAAAGGAGTACGTCAAGGCTGTATATTGTCACCCTGCTTATTTAACTTATATGCAGAGTACATCATGAGAAACGCTGGGCTGGAAGAAGCACAAGGTGGAATCAAGATTGCTGGGAGAAATATCAATAAACTCAGATATGCAGATAACACCACCCTTATGGCAGAAAGTGAAGAGGAACTAAAAAGCCTCTTTTTGAAAGTGAAAGAGGAGAGTGAAAAAGTTGGCTTAAAGCTCAACATTCAGAAAACTAAGATCATGGCATCTGGTCCCATCCCCTCATGGGAAATAGATGGTGAGACAGTGGAAACAGTGTCAGACTTTATTTTTTGGGGTTCCAAAATCACTGCAGATGGTGACTGCAGCCATGAAATTAAAAGACGCTTGCTCCTTGGAAGGAAAGTTATGACCAACCTAGACAGCATATTAAAAAGCAGAGACATTACTTTGCCAACAAAGGTCTGTCTGGTCAAGGCTATGGTTTTTCCAGTGGTCATGTATGGATGTGAGAGTTGGACTGTGAAGAAAGTTGAGCGCCAAAAAATTGATGCTTTTGAACTGTAGTGTTGGAGAAGACTCTTGAGAGTCCACTGGACTGCAAGGAGATCCAACCAGTCCATCCTGAAGGAGATCAGTCCTGGGTGTTCATTGGAAGGACTGATGCTGAAGCTGAAACTCCAATACTTTGGTCACCTCATGCGAAGAGCTGACTCATTGGAAAAGACCCTGATGCTGGGAGGGATTGGGGGCAGGAGGAGAAGGGGACAACAGAGGATGAGATGGCTGGATGGCATCACCGACTCGATGGGC